TGGTCTGACACCATCACCGATGATCTGGACATTGCGAAGCCAACAGTGGTGCTCTGCCACCATGGAGTGAGGTGAGGGCGAGGTCGAGGGGTCCACAGCCACCGACATCATGGCTGTGGTTGCGCTGGCCGGCCACCGCCCCACAGCCTTGCAATTTGCTTGCCCTGCCCAGCTCTGACGCTTCGCCCCTGTGACTGCTGCCAGTGTGTCCATCCCACCCAGACCAATACAAACGAGAGTCTTGCTTGTGCCAAGAGGTGCGCGGCTCGACACCGAACGAGTGCGTCGGGGTGTTCCGCCTCCCAGCAGCACACCCCCTGCCCTTGAACACTTGGGCTCAACGGAAGCGTGTTCCGCTCTGCAAAGTAGTGCTTAGTTTTGGGCTTGGTCGCACGGCATCCAGCCCGCCCTCCGCTCTCTTCCTTCACTTTGCGCCGCGACCGAGCAATCCATGTCCTTGACACCTGGTCTCGCATCCATACTGCCGCCCAACAATTTGTTCGGCCTCGCAGGATTTGTGGACGTCGCGAACGTGGCGGGCGGCATCCACGCCTACAGCCTCGGCGTCGACCCCCCCCCCCTTGCCCAAGTACTGACTGCGCACCCCTCGTGCCGTTTCGACGGCCGCCCGCCGGCAGCCACCTGCTTTTTAGTCGGTGCGGCGCAGCAGCACACGAGTGCGGGCGAGCCGCGGCAGGCTCTTGAAGCAGTGGCGGGGCGGCCGGGTCTCTTTTCGGGCTGTGGCAGGGTGCGGTGCGGCGCACGCCGACACCTGTTGCGTTCTGTCAGCTTGAGAAGCACACACGAGCGCTGGCAGGGAAGCTGGAGGTGCCGTTATGTGTAATTCATTGACGAATTGGCTCATCTTTGTGCACGTCCTGTCTCGCATAGGCTACATCCGCCCAGGAGCTGCGATTTGAGTGTGGATGTTACCCTTGTCACGAACAAAGTGGCGTGTCGGCACGAGCAGTTGACGCGACACACCCGCAGCAAAGATCCCGGCTGTCAAGTCACCACCCCATGCCATCATTTCAGGAAAGGAAGCGCCGTGGCTTTGGCGGGCCACCACCTGGCGAAGCGTGCAGCATATCTTGCTGCGGCGCACGTGGGTCAGGCGCAGGGTTCGCCACGGCGGACACATGAGTGGTGGTTTGGAACTTGGGCAAGCGTTCAAACCTGAATGGACAGGCAAAGCGCTCCTTATACTGCAGCACGGCAGGGGCGGCTGAGCTAGATGCCGACAGCCAGCCAAATCGCCAAGAAGCCGCCGCCCAGTCGTGACGCTTGATGCCCCCCTGGGCTCGCGGCGGTGGTCAAGCGCGGCTCAATTGCTCTGGACCGCAAGTGACAATCCACGGCTCGCGGCAGCCTTGAAGCGCGTGTGGTCGACCCGACTGGCAAGCCGCAGGTGGCCTGCAGGCTCGCCCGCGGCAAAGCCAAAGCCATGCAGCGGCAAACCTGCCACAGGTGCGGAGGCTCTGCAGTCACGATCGTGCAGTTTATTTAGGTCATGCAATGCGGCGCGCGATAGGCGGCACCTGGGGTGTCCCTGTGCGTCAAGGCCAACGCGACGAATGCGCGACACTACTTGATGCATGCAAAGGCCCCGGGCCGGCCTTGACAGCGCGGTGCCGCAGCAGCGTTTGCATCAGTGGCATCCGTGATGCCGACTGCGGCATGGTCTGCCTGGGCGACACGCAGAGCGCCCAAGGAAGTGCTCGCAGCGGCCGCTCAAGCATAAGCGCCGCCTGCAGCGTCAGCTCCAGCAGCCGCGGCAGCGGGAGATCATCCGGCAGCTTGGCAGTAGATGATGTTCTGCGGAGTCTGGTGATAGAGGAGCACTTAGAGGGCTCAGCTGGCAAGGGGGGCCCGGGTGCGGCGGCCGTCTTTGAGGATGGCCGTGCCGGCCGCCAGAGCGATTGCGGGAGCCTGCGGCTGCCGCGCGTGAGGTATGACTGGGTGGATCACATTATAGAGGGACTCCTGAGCTAACTGTAGTGGAGTATGGCTGCCTGCAGCAATCACTGCTGTTGTTCTGCTGGGTCTGTGGTGCACCACAGTCTGTTGGAATTCACCATGAACGTTTGTGGTAAACCTCAACAGACAGCTGAATCCATGCTCAGGTTACAACGCCATGCGTGCCCTTTTTTGCTGCAAATGCATTCATGCTCAGATTGCCGTGTATGGACCAACAGGATTTGCCCAACGGCTTGGCTCTGCTGCTGTCTGGTGCACGTCTCACAGCGCAATCGAAGGGCATGCCATGCCACCAGTGCGTCGCATGCAAGCCTACGTGGGAGCGTATTGCGTCTGCAGGCGTTGAGCTCGCCTGACATGCACGGACGTGTGACGGTAGGTTGGGGGCCAACCGGAGGTGGAGCGGCAGCTGCACAGGGCTTCGCACCAGGATTTGTACGGCGCGACAGGTTTACAACTAACTGGGCGCATATGCAACGCCGCCGGCCGAGACGACAGGGCCATGGCAGGTGATCACCTCTCACGCATGGAAGGCATCTGCCGATGACTGCACAGCCGCGTGAGGCCAAGCGGGTTGCACGATACAGCAGTGATGAGTGTTGCACTGGTTCAAAAGGGTCAACTTGCAGTCAGCGCACCAGCGACATTGATAGCAGCCGCACGCCGCTTCACCGAATGTCAGTGCTGCTCATCATGCTCCCAGCAACTCAAACCCCTGAAGTCAGGGACCTAACCAGGACCTCAATGTTTACACTGACCCCCATGTTGTAATACATGGAAGACTCTTCGGATGTTTTACTGGAGAAAACAACGCAAAACATATCATGGTTTTTTTTGAGACGGCACAGCCAATCTGCACGCCGCGTGGTGCGCAGTAACATCAAGGGGTTTGTGCGCCCCAGAGCCATTACTAAGCTTGCAGCAGGTGGTTGCGGCAAGCCTGCAGCAGCAGCAGGAGCAGCAGGAGCAGGAGCAGCAGGAGCAGGAGCAGCAGCAGCAGCAGCAGCAGCAGCAGCAGCAGCAGCAGCAGCAGCAGCCTGAGCACCAAAGCAAGCAACACCAGTTGCAAGCCCGGGATGATGTTACTGTCTCAATCGCGCCTGTGACCCTTATCCAACACGGCAGCAGCGGGGTCACAAATATGCAGCCCTCACGACTGTTCGTTGCAGCGCGATGTCTGAATTGCTACCCCCTGCTGATGCGAGGGAGCCGGCGGACATTTGCAGTGGGTCGAGCATGCCGCTGTCCCCCGAGCGACTGCTGCCGTACATGAGCAGCAGGCTCCCCTACTGCAAAGCCACAGTCGCGCAGCGGCGACCCTGCCAGTGGCGCGGAGACCCTGCATTCGCTATCCGCAATGGGTCGCGCTGTGGGCGGCACCTCTGTGCGTTGAGGCCAGCGCGCATGGCGCCACAATCAACAATACAAGCGAAAGCCCAAGGCCGTCCTTGAGAGTGCAGCGCTACAGCAGTCACAGCAGCGTTGGCATCAATGGCGTCACCACTGATGCCCACGGCCGCGCAGCCTGCCTGGGCGACGCGCAGAGACCCAAGGAAGTGCTCGCAGCGGTCTTTCAAGCGTTGGCGCGCCCATTGGAAAGGTGCCAGCAGCCGCGGCAGCAGGAGAACATCCGGCATTTTGGCCGCAAATGCTGTTCTGCGGTGCCTGGTGGAGTACTTGGAGGATCCAGTGGGCGGGGGGGGGGGAGGGCCCAGTGCGGCCAAGGGCTTTGGTGCTAGGCCCTGCCGGTCGCCCGAGCCTTGGCTGCGACTGGGTTGTGCTGCTGCACGCAGTCTCACAGTGCGTGTGATCAAGGGGCATGCCATGCCACCAGCGCGTTGCAGACGCAGACCTGTGAGCGCATTATTACGCCCCAGCCTGCAGGCGTTGAACCTGCCATTCGCGGAAATTTGACATGGTTGGAAGCCAGCCAGAGGTTGAACGGCAGCTAAGCCCGTGCCTCAGCCGCAGCACGGCAGCGCACGAGCGAGCGCGCCTGGGCCGCGCCAAGCGGCACAGATTCCAGCACCACAATTCGTATACTGTAGTGCGACAGGTGGAGGGGGCGGACATGCCGACCAACACGCAAGGGCCATGGCAGCTGGCGTCTGCCAAACAAAGCTGCCAGGCTGTCACCTCTGAGTGGTGCGCGCCAGGGTGAAAGCAACGCCGCCTCTCATGGTCACCCACCTTGTGCAACTCACTGGCCATTTGCGTAATCAGAGCAGCTTGTGCGGGGTGGCTCCATTATGTTGATGCTGGCCGCCGCACAGTGATTGTTGACTCCCCAAATGGTACATGCAGCCGGTGGCGTCGTGTGCAGTCCATTCTGACAACCGGCGCGGTGTCATGGTTTACACCAGCTGCGCACCAGCCACGCAGACAGCTTTCTGACGTTGTGCGTGACGATTGCTTTGCTGGGCGGTATTGGCTCGCCTTGATTTGCAAATCATCATGTGAGGCTTCTCTTGGCTTCGACACCGCTTTTTGGTGCAGTGACACAACAGCCCTGGCCTCAGGACGCAACAGCCGCTTGTCGGTCCGGCAGGATCTTGCTGCATCGTCGTTTACCTTGAGCAGGCTTTTTCACCCAACACAATGCAAAAGGTTTAAGGCAGCAATTATGTCAGAAAGGCCAGGAGGCTGGCCGGATTCCCTGAGGGGTCAGAACATAATAATGGGTTATGCTCGACACATTTGGGCGTCAAGTTATGCCGCCGTACAACAACATGAGGGCAGGACCATGACTCCGTCGGCCCGGGCGCCTCCAGGCATCAACCATCACACTGAAGCCTATATTTACGAAACAGATGCTGCGCAATTTATGTGAGGTATAGCCACCAAGGATTGGCGTCAGCGCGGATTGCTGGCAAGCAGGTCAGACTTGGGGGTAATCACTCTCACGGTGTTTGCGCTCCCTGAGTAGCGGCTGCACAGCACGCGGCGCTGGTTAGGGCTTTGGGCTGACACCGCCACAGGACACCGCTCGCCACCTTTGGCCAATTGTACATCAAATGGGGCATTACTTTTATTCTGTTGGCCAAGAGTGCGAGGCTATTTGTCACGATTCGCACCTGAAAGGTCCCTTTTCCGTCACGAAAAGGCAGCCCGCTTTGTCATTGTCGTGTGGCCAGGCGGCATTTCAAAAGGTTCAAAAGGTTCAAAAAGAGGATTCATTTTCAGCATTCCAAATAATAAAATACGCCGCTTCACCTTGCAGCATTCCAGTCAAACGGTATAAATCTACGACCTCGTCCAGCTCCACTCCGCGGCCTTTGCACAGCAGGTGCGCGCTGGGGCCTTACCGGTGCCTCTGTGGAAAATCATCCCAGCGTTGAGTGCTGTGCTTTGCAGCTTTGCTGCCTGTGGTTTGTGCTCGCCGGCCACCAAGGAGGACCACAGAAGGATCAATTCATGCTGCTGACTTCTGACCCCATTCCCCTCGTCCTCATTCTCCCAACCCCCAAGGGCACCCAGAATTGTGATTATCTGCAATGGCTCGTGCGCTTGTCATGGCGGTGGCTGCCGTGGCCGTGTTTGTCCTGGTCACTCCCGCCCTCGCGGCCCGTGACCTCAAGACCGTCTCTCCTGCTGTCGGCAGCGTGACTGGCGCCGTCAGCGGCCTGCTCACGGGCGGCAGCCTCCCCACCGGCAGCCTGCTGCCCAACCTGCCCGTTGTGGCGGCGCCCTCCCTGCCCTCCGTGCCCACCGTGGGCACCCCCACCCTGCCCACCCCCAGCCTGCCTGTCGTGGGCAGCGTGACTGGCGCCGTCAGCGGCCTGCTCGCGGGCGGCATCCTCCCGAGCGGCAGCCTGCCTGTCGTGGGCAGCGCGACTGGCGCCGTCTTCGGCCTGATCCCCACCCTGCCCTTGGCGCCGGCAGTGGCGTCCATTTCCTCCACCCTGCCCACCATTCCCAACCTGATCACGCCCTCCATAGTCCTCCCCACCCCGCCCTCCATTCGCGACCTTGATGTCCCGAAAAGCCTGCCCACCCTGTTGCTGCCCACTAGCCCTGTTGTTGGCGCTGTGCAGAGCATCCCCATTGCGGGCGGGCTTATTGGGTAGTTGTACACAGTGGGAATATCCATGCCCTTGAAACTCTGCGTGCCTGCTGCTGGCTGCACACTGAACCTGCCCAGCGCCCTGTTGTTTGCTGGCCGTATGGTCACATGGCAGGAATTGATGCGTGCTGTCCGTGCGCTGCGGACCAAGGTGCTGGCCACAGGCAAACTCATCCTTAGTATGGCCACCTGCAGGAAGGTGCATGCATGCTGCACGATGCATTGATGGATGCGACGCACACATACAAACACAAGTAAACAGCTTCGAAGCCTGGTTGTGGATCGATCAGGCACTTGCAATTGGCATTGCGCGACCAGGAGCCCAAACTTGGTGTCCATTTCGCAGCCTTGCGA